CGTACCAAAACTATTCAAGTCCTCAGGTACCGAATATGTGGCCTCAGTAGGAAAATTTCGAACTCTTTACCATAAATATCGGTCAGTCTGTGAGATATCTTACTGAAATTCAGAGCAAATACGTTCCTGATGATGGACCTCTTGTATGGCAAAAATGGTTTGAATCAACTCAATAATTTCCTTAGTCCCTATATACCTAATAATAACATTTTCGAACTTCCTTTTTCTTCTAAATATCGGTATATTTGAGCTACTTTAATCAAATTTAAAAAGCGTATTTTTCTAATAATAATGTATTATTGTACCTAAAATGGGGGCCATCGACAATTGAACTTAATCTAAGAAATATTCTAATTTTTAGTGAATTGCATTTTTTCATTAAATAATGTTGCACCTCACATTCATTGTTTTGAGTCCTACCTTTACGTTAAAAGCAATCGTTGTTAATATTTTTACATTAGGAAATATTCCGCTATCCTAATACACCTTATATAGGTAATTCCAACTTTCCGTTTGACATTATACAATATATATTGATCTATGTGTCATATTTTAATGAAATTAACTGGACATGTTTTCTGTAGCAGAATGTGCCCATACCCTTAATGATTTCCGTCTTCTTGTTGACTTCTCTCTCATATACCCCATATATTATTAGATTTCGTTCCTTTGGGTGAGTTTATATCGCATACATCTCAATAGAAAATGTTGCAATAAAATAGGGCAAATATATCGGTCCGTCTAAATAAAAATAATTCGTACACCAATCAAGTAGTAATGGAACTAACATCGTATTATTTATCTATCTATTATATCTATATAATAGCGAGAGTATAGTGGTATTTCGACAATAGTATACCAAAATTTATATTAGGACTGGATAAAAACTACCTACAACAGGCAATCGAATCTAAAGTCGCCATTTTGTGTAAGTTAACACATAATAAATTATTAAAATTACAATAATTAAAGCTAAATCCGATTCGGGGAATCAGCACAGTAAATTAAACCTTTTAATATTTCATACTAATAAAACATCTGCATCCGATTCGAGGAATCAGCAAAGTGAATTAAACTTTTAATATTTTACACGTATAAAACAGTTACATGCATATCCAGTGTAATACTGCTATTTGGGCTAAAGTGCTGACCTAGCGTATTTCACTTAGCGCAAGCAATAGCCAATGCTCCCGTCTTTGGTTAAGTAAGCAAATAAAAAAACATTTTTCACTAAAGCATGAAGAAAATGAATTTTTTAAAATCAGTATCTGTCTCGTAGTGTCCGGATCCGGTACAAAAAAATTAAAATTATATGTTTATTTATTTTGTATATTATGGATAACTATCAACCCTTGTTTTATTATCTATAGGCTTTTCCAATGAGAGTGATAAGATTAAAAACACTAATTGTTAAAGAAATTGTAAGTGAAGTACAATCGATACAATTAAATTCTGAATATAACATTAATCAAATTGCCTGCACGACTTCTTTTGCAGGCACGAATTCGATTAACCCAATTTTCCAGTACTTTTTCCACTAAATCAAGTCGTATGTCATGAATAACACGTTATATATTGGCTTCTAAAGCTTGAAGAGAGTCTGGTTTATTGCTAAATACCAATAACTTCAAATAACCTCACAAGAAGTAGTGTAATGGTGTTAAATATCAACTTAATGGAAAATATCAACTTCAATGACACAATTTACACAATATTGAATCCCCAAACTATTATCGCAATAATTCGGTTGTTGCAAGTGCTGTGTGTTACGTAGCCCCGTCTTGTTGGAACCAGATGTTGCCAAGATCAACTTCTTCTAATTGCGACCATGAAAAGTTAGTTATATTCGATCGATATCGCTCTCCATTGACAGTAATGATATCACCAGCTTCATTTCGAAAAAAGTACGGAAAGATGATTCCATCAGACCAAAAACCACACCAAACTGTCAACTTAGGTGAATGTAATGGTTGTCCATGAACAATTTGTGAACTTTCTTCGCACCAGAACCGAAAGTTTTGTTTATTTACCGCACCACTCAGATGAAAGTGAGCCTCGTCGGAGAAGATGACTTTTCTTTAAAAAAACCGTTCTCGTTTTTAAGTTTTTCCTATTAAAAATCAGCAAATTCCGGACGTTTACGGTGGACCAATGGCTTTAGTTCTTGAGTGAGAACAATTTTACATGGATGCAAACCCAAATCCTTTCTCAAAATCCGCCAGGTTGTGGTTTGAGGAAGTCCCAGTTCTTGAGAACGCCTTGGAATCGACAAATTGGGGTCTTCAGCAACACTTGCCTGAACGGCAGCAATATGTTCATTACTTCGAGTGGTTCTTTGTCTTATTGGCAATTGAACATTATGCCAAAAAAATATATTCTTAACAATTCGACGAATAGCACAGGTCCATTATCACCATAAAAGTGCACGAAAAGTTGCAATTAGAGAACGATTATTTTGATAATGAAATTGAATAATTTGTAAACGTTGATCTTGCGTGTATCTTTCCATAATAAAATTGTAAACATTACCGAATACAATGAAATAAAAATTGCGGATCATGACATATTAAAAATGGCCGAAACGACACTTAGAATCTTTATCATCCTTATTGGAAAACCCGATTGAAATGAATCAGAAAACTAATATGTTGTGCAGTTGCTTACAAAATTTGTCGAATTTTTGGTTTTTTATACTTTAAACACTTGTGAAGTAACTTTAGTTAATCTCCCCCTTTTAAAAAATTATGAATTTTAATTCTCTTGTAACATTTTTGTTTGTATCATTTAAAACTATTCGATATAGATATGGAATTATGTATACCTATATTATATTATATAAATGATCTGGACGACAAGACGAGTTGAATTCCGTGTGACTGTCTGTCCGTGCAATCGATAACTTGAGTAAAAACAGAAATATCTAGATGAAACTTTGTACAAGTATTCCTGGGCACCCATGGAAGGTTGGAAGTGAGAAGAGAATATTTTGATTACAATTATGTCAAAAATTATGGATATCGGCACGCTTTTCTCGACAGTAGTAATATGATTTGGGTAAGCTAAGTCAGTTTTAAAAAAAATGATTCGTATGGACTACAACCATGTCTACTTCCTATATAACCCATTTTAATTTGTATCTGATTCTTTCTCTTTCCAGTATACAAATCAAGCACTGATGAATGCATCGGGATAAAACTTTGTACGAAGAGTGCCTTAAATATGTGCCACGTAATAATAAAAAAATGTCAAAATCGAAATACTGTTCAAGCCACCAGATACCGAATATTTGGGCCTAAGGCGAACTTTTGATTAAAAACATCGGTCAATCTGTGAGGTATGCTATTGAAATTCGAAAATAATCCTTTCTTACTAATAGTATATTTAATGCCAAAAATAAATAACATCGGTTCAATACTACTCTTATCTCCCATATAGCTAATATACGATTTTCAAACTTCCAGTTGGCCTTATACCGTATCGGTCAATATGTAAGATATCTTAGCAGCATTAACTCCGCATATATTATTGAATATTCTATAGTCCAATACCGAGAATATGTGAAATTTGTCTACAAATATCTCCGACTCCCATATACTACATATAATGATTTTCGTTATTCTAATAAATCTCATGCCGAATATGTCGGTCAGTGTGTGAGTTATTAATTTTAAAATTGCTTGAAAATATGTTCCGTAATATACCTTAACATTGTCAAAAGTTAATGCAATCAGCCCAGCCTTTTTTTGCCCCCAATAGACTTTTCAAATGATTTGAATGAAATTGGTCTAGACCTTAGTCCAGAACTCATATCCCAAATGTAATCAATTTTCGATTCTCTGGTTAACGTTTTCTGCGTCATCTCATCGTATTGAAATATAGACCTTTCAGTTGAGTTTATATCGCATATATTTTAATTGAGGATGATTTTAATACATATAATTTTCGCTGACGGTAAGTGAAATATAATAATAAAACTAAGTGTGTCTACGAACTATAATATAAGTTAATAAGATACAAATTTTGATGTAATCCATTCCCAATTTCGTCGAATAATGGATATTGAATTCTTTCGCAACATTTTTATACTCTTGCAACATGTTGCTACAGAGTATAATAGTTTTGTTCACCTAACGGTTGTTTGTAACACCTAAAACGAATCGAGTCGACTGTCCGTACGTTTGTCCGTCCGTCTGTCTGTGCAAGCTGTAACTTGAGTAAGAATTGAGATATCGGCACGAAGCTGAGTGCACGTGATCCTTGGTCAAATCGGGAGAAATAGTTCGTAGATAGGCGTAATCGGACCACTGTCATGCTCATAAATGGCCATTAGTCGAAAACGTATAAGATGCCATAATTAAGCCACAAAATAAGATACGAAATTGTAATTTGGTACAACGAATCTCCCTCATAGGTTTAATGCATATATTTCGCTAACCATTCAAACAACAATATATCACTCATGTTTGCACAGGATAAGTCTTTTCGACAACTCTTACGATAGTGTGCATATAAGTAAAATCGGACGATAACCCCTCCCACTCCCCATATAACGGTTTTGCTAAAAACTACTTAAGGTGCGAAAAATCCACAAATAAATGCGGCAGAAAGACATCAAATTTTACACCCGAGGCCCTAATAGGTGCCGTTGGCCGCTTTGACGATGGGCGTGGAACGGCCCACATTAAGGTGTAAATATATCGGGACCGGCTGACCTGATTTCAACAAAATTCGGTAAGTGACATTTTTCTGATATTCCTATGTTACATTGCGAAAATTGCATCTCATTCTTTTACTTTCCAGCATACAAATCAAGGACCAATCAATGCATTCGGATAAAACTTTCCACGAATACATCCTGTGAAGTGTGCCACTTTAAACCAAGAATTTTCCAAATCGTACCAAAACTATTCAAGTCCTCAGGTACCGAATATGTGGCCTCAGTAGGAAAATTTCGAACTCTTTACCATAAATATCGGTCAGTCTGTGAGATATCTTACTGAAATTCAGAGCAAATACGTTCCTGATGATGGACCTCTTGTATGGCAAAAATGGTTTGAATCAACTCAATAATTTCGTTAGTCCCTATATACCTAATAATAACATTTTCGAACTTCCTTTTTCTTCTAAATATCGGTATATGTGAGCTACTTTAATCAAATTTAAAAAGCGTATTTTTCTAATAATAATGTATTATTGTACCTAAAATGGGGGCCATTGACGGTACCACCGGTAAGGCCTCCGCCACTGCGGAAGCGGTAATGGTAGCGGTTGCAGTAATAGTGACACCGTGGGTGTAGTGCGCGCTGATAAGGGTGCGAAGAAATCGAGCGGTAATAAGACCAGCGCGAACAAGGGTGGTGTGAGCAACCGGGAAGTTGCTAAAGGGGCTGTTGCTGTCGGGCGAAGCAGTAAGCCATGATGCGGCCGTTAAATGCACTACGGAGGAGTTATGCGGACTATTTTTGGGGCCGAGAATTTTGCGATAGTAACCGCGAAGGCGGTCGAAGTACGAGGTCGGTCGTAACCGAGAATGTCCACTTTCGCGGTCAGGTTGACGCCCGTTGAGGAAGGTGTGGGAGACACTCCTCGCCGCCGGAAAGGTCAATGCCGGGTCCATCGGCACCGATGCCAGCGCCTCCAGCACTGGTACTGGAGGCGATTACACCAGTGACGCCGAGCCTGTTGAGACCTTATCGGTTGTCATTAAGAGTAAGGGACCTGCAACTTGCTCTAAGGAAGTAATAAGAAAGCTCGTGAAAGACATGGGTCCTTCATTGGGTGTTAGTTTCTACGAAGTCAGGCCAATTAAGGGTGGCGGGGCGATTATCCGCACTCCTTCTAACTAACGCAAAATTCGGGGTGGTGGGGACTGTCCACCTGAAGTTGGGTCGTCGGGTTGTAGTTCAGGGGGTTCATACGGAGATCTCTCATGATGAGTTCATGGAAGAGTTACTCTGGCTGAACTTGCAGGATTTTAGCCCGGCGTCTCATAGGTTAGTCGTGAAGATGGTCGGTCGTCCCTGGAAGGCGGCCTCTTATGGCAGCACCAATGACGTCCTAGAGGGTACGGACAAAATGATGTCCGCCCTCTTGGAGGCTGGTAGGTGCCAAATCAAGTGGTTCTCCTCCCGGGTGCGACCGGATAGCCCCGTTACTGGCTGCTTCCGGTGTATGGGTTCCCACCATAGAATGGCTGAGTGTAGGGCCAAATTAGATGTCTGTCGGAGTTACGGTCAAGAAGGACACAGAGTGTATGTGTCGCGGTAGAGAGGGAGATCGGTAGAATAATTGTCGCTACTTTGTACTGGAAATTTAGCGAGCCCCTAGAGCTCTATCTGGGCTACATGGATAAGCGACTACTACTTGCGAGTAGTAGCCCATTTATCTTAGTGCAGAATGTGAATGTCACGTCCTAGATGTGGTTTAGTAAAGTATCCCGGCATACGCCTGTATATCAAGGCCACAGTCGAGGCGAGTCATTTAGCGAATGGGTGGTGGCCAAAAGTCTCCACATTGTAAATAAGCCGAGTGAGTGGTACACGTTTGATGAACCTAGGGGCGTGAGTAAGATCGACGTGACCCTTATGAATCAGGCAGCAGATAGCGCGTTCGTAATTAAATGGGAGGCTAAGGGAAGATGAGGAATCAGTAATCATAATTTGATCCAAATTATGGTTACTCCCAAATCTCCTCCCTGTGGTTTCGACTGGAACCAATATGGACGATCTGTTAGGGAAGCGGTAATAGGTATGCCGTTTAGAGTGTTTGAGGGTTTCGAGTTGGCGAGCAAATTGTTCGGCTATATGAGGTAGTGTCGGGGGTGAACAATAGGGTACTTAGAAAGTGTGAAAGTTTTATGGTTACGAAAATCAAGTGGTGGCCGCGAGAGTTTACCTCGAAAAGGAGAACTGTCAGGCTGTCCCAGCTTAGGAATTTAGTTGTGCGATAAGGGAGTATAAGGAAATGTTAATAAAATTAAAGAAGAGGAGTGGAGGAATTTTATGGGGGAAAATAGGAACGACCTGTAGGGTCAGGTCTAAAATATCTGCCGGGGTCGTAAGAGGGGGGATATCACCTCTCTTTGCGTTGTTGACACTACGTTATTTACATGTAGGGAGTGTGCGGGGGCTTTGTTAGGGGCTTTCTTTCCCAGGGCGGAGGCTCAGGGGGTTGAGGTTGGGGTACGTCTTTGGCCTGGTTAGGTCTAAACGGTCTTCAGGTTTTAATGGTTTGAATGGTGAGATGTGCAAAAGCTTGTGGAAGTTCATTTTGGAGGCCATTTATGATAAGGACGTGTGGGAGGGCTATTTTATACGCGAGTGGAAAATTTCTAGGGTTATTCCTATCCTGAAGTCTCCTGATAAGATCAGAAGCGTCTTTGTTTGACTTCAAGGTGATATTTGATTACCTAAGCTGGGATTGAGTGTTGCAACGACTTTCCGATAATGATGTAGAGAGGAAGGGATATCTAGGGAGCAACGAGCTTCTAGATAATAGGGTCAGGCGTAGGTGGCAAGATCGTTGGGACAATAGCCCTAACGGTCGAGTGACTTATGAGTACATCCGGGACGATAAGTTTGTTGAGGGTAACCTAGACTTCAGATTTTGATCAGAGTCTGAGTTGTTTACTAACGAGGCATGCATTTTTGCATAAGTGGCACCTATATGATAGGTCGGGGTGTTTATGTGGGGCGCGATGTACGGATTTGGTTCACTTGATCGCGGAGTGCGCGATATAGTCGAATATTAGGGATCTCGGGGGTATTTGGATTAGTTGTATGGACGGACGTTTAGATATTAGAGGAGTGATCTCCAAGAGTCGGAATGCCGTACAGTTGGGGTCGTTTGCGCGTGAGTTGTTTAGACGGCGAAGACGTTTAACTAGGAATTAGGGTTAGCTTCTTGTGTGAAAACTGTGTGCGTGTAGTGTGCATATGGGGTTCAAATCTTGGTTATTAGTCCAGTGCAGTATGGAAGCTCAAATAGTAGTAGCTTCTGCTGCGAGGTCTGACCGGAGACTTAATTCTGGTACCACGGGGAGTAGGAGCCCTTGGAGTTCGCTCCAACCTGCTCATACAGACTGGCCCTTCGGGAAGTATCGTGGTGATTGTGGTTGATATCCGAATGCGGGAAGAACTGACTTTTTGTCAATTGAATGTGGAGTTGCATTGCAACCGGGTGCCGGACCTCAAAGACCAAGGTGGTTAGTGTTTCCATTTCACACTACCAATCGGTACTGAAAAATGTTTGACATTTTTAGGGCGCTGATCAACGCATTGATTTGATCCGCTGTGCTTTAGAGCACCATGGGCTAAGACTGACGTCATATAACTAATATCGGGATTTAAAAACATCCAGTTGATTCGTTTCCGCATATATTGATGATGGTATGTGATGTATTTTAATGAATAATATTTTTTTGTTAATAATATGTGGTAATGGCATAAATAGATAAAAGCAGTTTAACACTCCCCTATCTCTCATATACCTAATATAAGATTTTCAAACTTCCGATAGGCTTTATACCGTATATATCGGTTAATATAATATGTAAGATATCTTAGCAAAATTAACTGAACGTATATTACTGGATATACTATAGTGTAATGCCAAAAATATCTGAAGTTATATTATACTACAATACATATAATGATTTTCGGTTTTCTACATTTATATACACATACGGTATATGAGAACTATGTGGAAAGTTATAATAAATTTTTGGTACTAAATTACATTGTACTGGTGAGTGCGGCCAGCCGAAAAGACACTAATTGCCATTTAAATAGAGTGTGCAAAATTAAGAGAGAAAAGTTCGGGGTTTTTGGAAGATTCTCATATCTCTTAGAATGAGATATAACTCTTAAAATGTAAGAATTCTGAACATATGTACATCTAGTGAGCCCCAAATAACTTACCATTTTTGATTATTTGAAAAAAAAATTTTATATCAAAATATATAATACGTCATTACCACAAAAAAATGTGAGTTAAAAGTATAAATTTTAGATTGTAAAATAATCTTCGTTATTAAATATAATACTTCACAAATTATCGTTGCGAGGCATAGTTAGAGAATATTAATTTATTTCTGCCTAAATTTGTATTCCATAAACGATTCGCCTTAATCAATAGTATACTGAACAAAGATTTTGCTTTTATATACCTACATAAAATAGTACAGTTAAAGAAAAAAATTATTTTTATTATAATTTAATCATACCAGATGCAGCTACTTCTGCAACCGGCCTTTGTTGCTCGTTTGCCATAAAACCCACAACAGAGAATATCACAAATCCAGCAAACATGCTCGTACTTGAATTAACAGAACATACAATTAAAGCATCTCTAAAAAGTAAAAATAGTATAATTACTATCTCGTGATCTTATTATGATCGATAAAAGACTAACTTGTAAACATTATTTGTAAATTTATTATAGCTGCCAAGCGCAACTAAAGTTCCAAGTCCAAGCCCATAAGAGAAGAAAATTTGTGTAACCGCATCAATCCATACCTATGGTCATACTTAATTATTCAACATGCTAAAATAATATTTTTGATTATTTTATACTTCTGATTCCGTAAGTTTTGAAAAATTAGGTATCACGTAAAACTTTATTCCTTCAAATGCCCCTGGAAGGGTTATGCCACGAATAAGTAGTACAGTTAGCAAGACGTATGGAAATAGTGCAGTGAAGTAAACTACTTTGCCTGTCCATTTTACGCCTTTCCATATACAGAAGTAGCATAGAATCCACACCAGTAACAGAGTTCCCGCCAATTCCCAACGAATATTGCCAATATGTTCGATACCATCAGAAATTTGCAGTGCGCGACGTCTGAATGAACGAAAAACATTTATCAATTAAATACAATCATATCTATTATACATTAATAATTTTAATTAGTTTTAGTTAAATTATATACATTTAATTTACCTTACAGTTGATTGTCAGAAGCTTCAGAAATTACATTGTGAATTATTAATTTAATTTTACCGACGCTTCACGTTTTTTGACAGAGCATACCTTCAAATTGTTGCTGCTTACCACCACCCCAACGCTAATTTCACGTAAAGTAACCAAACATATTATATCATCAAGAGGTCGAAACAAAGAGATTTTTGGATATCTGTTTGTTCAACAATGTAAACGATAAGTTGAAAAAAAGTACGAGTAAAGAACGACTAGGTTCGGGTGTAACCGAACATTTTATACATTCTTAATTTGCAAAGGTCAAAGGCGGGAAAATACTTTCAGGTATTGCAAAACTTTATATTAAAAAAGGTTGTGTAAGTATATAATTATTTGAAGAAACCGAATAGGTTTCAATCAAATTTAGTATATTTCGAGTGTGTTAATCATAGACTCGCTTAGCTATTTTGCTTTTCTTAACTATCATATTTATATTAAAATCAAGCGCATTAACGCAAATACATATATAGGCAATTCACAAACTTTGTCTTATGTCCTATGTCGTATTTCAATAGTCTTAAAAAATACGGCACTTGTGAGCACACCTTAATCGTTGTATGTCATATTGTGTAATATTTCTACACTTCATCAGCTGATACTGAAAAATTATCAATACAAAAATGCCACGAGAAAGTGACAAAAATAAAAGTATAGCTTCTTTTTGTGAAAATCACGCATTGACTTTATTAAAAGTTGAATCAAGTAAGTATTTGCATACATTTCTTTGATATATTATATAATATTATATTTACACTTTGGCAGGTTAGGAAGAAGACGAAGCTATTAATCAGCATGAGCTGTTTGCTGAGCAACCGAAGAAGCGTTCATTTCCGTTCCAGTTGGCAGCGAAATGTGCTAAGGAAACTTGACGAAAGCAGATTCAATCAGATGCTTCATGTTTATCCGGAGGAAGACGAACATACCTCAGAATTAACTTAAAATAACGCTGTTTTTAAAACAAATTTAAGTGCTACACAACTTTCAATCGAATTGCAATTCAAAATAGTGCTGTATCGGTTGGGATCTTCCGGCGATGGACAATCTGTTTGCAAAGGGGCTTCATTATTCGGAGTGGGTGATGGAGGAACCATTAAAAATAACTCTTAAAAGTGACCCAACGATATTTTAAAGCCATATTGCGATTAAAAAATTAGTTTTTATACTGGCCCAATGAAACCGGGAGATTGCGTCCGCTACTGCGAAAGAAATGCCAGGGTGTGTATCGATGGTTCCGAAATATAATTAGCCGAAGCTCCAGTTATGCAGCATGACATTTACTATTCGCGTAAACGTCAATATTCTGTAAAAATACAAGCGATTTGCGACTATAAATTGTGTACAGTGTAGATGAAACGAATATATTTTCAAATTGTCCACTCGCAAAACATCCGAAACGATTCTTATCGACATTACAGTGATCGCGGGAGATAGTGCCTATCCACTGAAATCATATTTAATAACACCCTTCCGGCAAAACAACGTTGAACATACAAAAGAAGAAAGGGATGTATTTAATGCGTATTTTTTCAAATACCGCGTACGTATTGAGAATTGTTTTGGTATTTTGAAAGAGAAATTCGGTAGCTTGCTTAGATTTAGAATGATTTCAACGTCAAATAAGAAGGAATGCAATAACTGGATTATGGCGTTTTGTATTCTTCACAACATGTTAATATATTTTAAAATAGATAATGGAAACAGCAATGAAGTTTCGATGCCTCAATTTCCTTCAACATCAGGAAATATTAGGAGAAATTACTTGCTTCGTTATATACAAAATTAAAATGCTTAATACTTATATACATATATGTGTTTGTTCTTTAATCATAAAAGTTCATAAAAATGCGTGATCACTTTACTTAATTAAATTCGACTTATGTTTCATACCGATTCTTTTATTTTGGGTTAGGTTCATTCATTGTGACATGGTTTTCATTGTATTTTTATATATATACTTTAATAGGTAATATGAACTATAGTATATAATATCTCAACAAAATTTATAATAACATAACTACTTAATATAAAGCATAAAAAACACAAAAAAATAACTTCATAACAAATGTAAAATTGTATTTGTCGTATTTTAATTTTGCATGGGAAACAACAACAGTGTTGATATGAGACAATATCACGATATGACACAATAATAATAAAACACCGTGTGAACACCCTAATAGTACATATGTGCTATAGACTCAACCAAAGGGGCTAACTTTAATATATGTGGAAAACATGAACTAGAGGATGGGAAATAAGCATATTAGGGACAGAGGGTTTAGACTAAAGTCTAGTCCAATTTCAGTAAAATTCAGCGCTTAACTCTATTACATTTTAAGTTTTCCACTTAATTTCATTAAAACATCATACATATTGACTGACATAAACGCTTAAAAGTCAAATGGAATTTCCAAATGAATGGAAATCACTATATCGCGTATATTGGAGTTAGGGGAAGATCTAGACGGAAGGCATTAAATTTTGCCATAACTCGAGTATTTTCGAGAACATTTTAGGAAGATTACTCTTACATGGATCAATGTATGCAGTACATGTATAAAGTCAACCGGAAGTTCGAAAACACGTATATTAGGTATATGGGGGCTTGGAGAAGTATTGACCCAATTTTACCCATTTTTGCTATGAAGACATATTGTTAACATAAAAAGATGCTCTATGAGTTTCATTAAGATAAATCAAATCTTTATCGATATAGGTATGTTATAGAAGACCCCGGCCACGCCTTGCTGTGGCTAATGTATAATTAAATTATATTGAGTAAGCTGCTTAATTTAGTAAAATGTTATTATCAAAATTAATTGCGGCATTTTTTGCTGTCTATATAGCTCGATTACCGAGCCAGTTATAATTTAAGTAATTATTTTGTGCGTTTGGGAAAATACGGCGAATGAATTAATTTTGTCCGTGCACAATAGTGCTGAAATTGTCTGACAGATTATAGCATTTCAAATTTGGTTGCAGTTAGTAAACGCTCAAAAATCATCATCAACATTAAAAAAAACTTAAATTTTTCGATCGCCACCAAACTTTACTGGATCAGTCGCTGGTCATCTTGAACATCGTTCGAAAATTTCATTGAAATCGGTCCAGCCGTTTCGGAGTTTATAATATATTGGAATACTCCTTTACATTATTAAATATTTTATTATATCATCATTACTTTACTTAGGAAGCGTTTCTCTTATGTTCATAAATCCATTAAGACCTCAATCAAGTTTCAGTGCCGAGTTACGTCAATGGGGATAGCAAACCTAAAAACCTTTTCCGTGAAAAAGTACATATACATACCAATTTAATGATCGGTCAAACAGTTTCTGAGTCGATCGATTTCATAATATACACATCCTTCTTTATATATATAGATATGGTATAAAGTCAACCGGAATTTTGAAAATCCTTTTATTAAAGAGATACAGGATTTCACCTGAAAATAGGAGGTGCCTCGCCCATTATCCAATTTTCATACCAACTCTTATTTGTAATACTTGCAAATTTTAATGTTTCTTGATAATATTTAAGATAATGAATGAGGTAGCTAGGATATATCATTTTTAATTTTTTACAATAATTCTTATAGTTTTGAATTATAAAAATTTTAAAATTTAATTTAATTTAGCTCTATTGGTTGAAAAATATTATTTGTTCAGCTTAAATAGATTCGACGGTTTTCTCACACTGCGAAACTGTAGCCTTTCAAATGGAATCGTATATCCTGACGGTATCATTGGAATACGTGGCAACAGGACCATTTTTTCATTAAATATTCCTGTCAAAATGGTTGCTTCAATAATATTTTCTGTGATCTTTTTTATTGCCGAGCGCGTACCGTTGCTTAATTGAGATGGATTTAAATTACGCTGAAGAATAATAGGTAAACTAATTTTAAACCAAAGGTTATGTGAAGGCATTCCGGGTATATCTCAAAAATTTAAAAACACAATTTAAAAATTTACGTATTTCCAGGGAAGAACTCTTAATTAAACATTTTTTTTCGCGAAATCGTCTGTTAGTTGAGTGCATTGCGTATTTGGTCGCAGTTCTGTTCTTCCAAATCGTTAAATAAAATATAAAAGGATGTGTGTTCCATCCGTTAGCGTGAAGAGTTCGTAGTAATCAACCATAATTTACGTCACGACAAATGTGATTTACGCTATTGAATGCTAAGTTAATATCTGCAGTGTAATGTATAGCTAGAAATAACCCTGTGAGAATTTGAATAATTAAACATAATCCTAATAGTGACCCGAAGTTTCATCAAGCTGAAATATAAATTGACGTTCATTAGAATTTAAAGCAGTTATGTTTAGTAGAATTGAAAAAATTTGTACGTTCGACGTAAAATTACTGAACTTCAGTGATTTGATTCAGTTCTTCAAGTTGATTAAAATTAACAATTTTAAAGAATCTTAAAATGTATTATAAACAGGAACTGTAAATAATTATTATTTGTGCGATTTTAAAATGACAGATACTGATCCTCTTTCCTTTTTCAACGATCTCAGCATTTCGATGATGATTGCTTTATTTCGGATTTTATTAGTTTCCTTCATCGATATTTAGAAGTAAAATAAATAAATATCACAAATAATCATTATTTTTGAGCAAAACTAAATAAAATTCATAAATAATCATTATTTGTGATTTTAATATTTTTTTGTTTGCTCAAAATAAAATTTTTTATATCACAGGTTTCTTATGAAGACTTTTTCTAACTTCGTTGCAAGTCCTTTTAGAACACATCTCAACGATCATATTTATGTCAATACCATATTGACACGCCCCCTTTCAGCCCCTCCGAAAATCAAGCGAAATTGTTAGGGCCTTGAAATTCCACACACAGGATATACATGTAGGACACAGGTTTGCATGACTATTCCAAATGTTATCGCTATCGGATTCAACTTACTTTTAGAACTTAAAGTTGACTTTGTACATTACATACATATATGTATGTATAACGGTCTGTACGCAAGATAACTTCACAAACTTTAGTAAACATATTTTTCTAGATATTCGGTGCCGAAAATAGGTGACTTAGGCTCACTTCGAAAACATACTACTTCAAAGTATCGATAAAGTATTACTACATCATCGTTACGACGCGTTGTATAATTGTACGTTATAGAACACTTTTACTTTAAAGTAAAACCAAATATTTTAATTGTAAGTAATTTCCTCAGATTCATCGCAAATAGAAGCACAATCATCATTCAAATATAAGGGATGTATTATATTTGAGATGTGCGATTCTCTGTCACTTCGCATTGACGACTGGGTTAATGCAATTCAAAACATGATGTAATGTCAGAAATATTTCGGATGCATTAAAGTACATTATACTTTGTTCATATATGTACTGGCTAGATGAGCTACGCCTAGGGGATAGTTAGATGAAATACGCCCACCGCCCCTCAACGCACAACACTGAACGCCATTATACCTATACACAGGCGCGTTTGCTGAATTCAAGTGAAGTGGTTGTGTTTTTGGTGCGGTCCTGGGGGTTTTCTTAAATCTCCTAGTCCTTCCACACCAACTAAAGTAATTTCTTCCCTGTGACTTTCGGAAACCGAAACAAACCAAACGGATAATAAATTTATAGAAAAGATAAATACAATTTGTATTTTTAAATTAAAATTCATTTGCACTTACTTGTATAGTTTGCGTGGCAATGCTGGAAATGAAGATATTTTTCCCTAGAAACAGTAATCCAAAAAAAAGTGTGCTTTGCGTTTTGTTTTGGTCAATAAGCTGTTCTCTTTTTTTGTTTTTCCTTTTATGGCCTTGCCAACTCCCGAAAATATTAGCAAGGTTTTAGGGGCAGTGACTGAACATACTTACTGTCAGGTGTTTCCAACAGGTCAGGTCAGGTGTTTTCATTGAGGTATGGCCTCTGAGAACAGTAGTGGGTGCACCCCAGAGAATCGATTTAGAAGGAACTCTAAAATTACGAGAACGCTTTCTATTGGGAAAAATGCGGTACCCAAAAGTAAAAATGGGTAAAAATGTGAATGCTCCAAAATGGCTGCGTGAGACTTAAGGCTTTTTATCACCAACAAAAAAGCCAAAAAATATTAGAAATATAAATAAAACGGCGCAGCCCACTTACATCGAGGCAGCGAAAATAGTTCAAGCCGATACTGCGGTTAAACCCGGCATAGGCAAAACATTGGTGGACGTTGGTAAGAAAAGAAGGCCGATCGAAAAGAAAATCAGATCAAGGCCAGACGTCATCATACTTACAAAAAAGGATGGTGCATCTGGATGGAGCTGAAGCGTTTCAAAGCGCCTTAGAGAAAGTGATACAGCCCAAAACACACAACGTCACACGTAAAAGTATGTAAAAGACCAAGATACCAGCGTTCGGAAAGCATGTGGTCATATAAAGGCCAACCTTTTATATCCTGTTCCAATGACCATAATTGTTTCACATGGGCAAATATACGTGACATATACATTGCTAGTTGCTATGCTCCTCCCAGCGTCTCAGTAATATATTTTGAAAACTTCCTCCTGGAGCTTGCTCTAGAAAATAGAGGGAAATCGCCAGTCATAATCGCGGGCGACTTCAATGCGTGGTTAACTGCCTGGGGTAGCAGATGCACAAACCGTCGTGGACGTCTGTTACTAGAATACCTAGGTGAGACGAATCTTGCGATAATGAATATGGGAACGCAAAATACCTTTCAAAACGGAAACAAAGGCTCCATTATCGATCTAATGTTTGCAATCGACGTTCTAAGTAGGCACATAAGTGGACGTTGTCGGATATATTTACAAAAAGTGATCACATGGCTATTATTGCTGATGTTTCGTTCTGGGAGAGAGAGTTTGGGGCTCAGCAAATGCACCAGGCGAGGATGCCGCTCATTTGGTATCCGCAGTGCGGAAAGAACTTGTCACCACCTGCGATTCAACTATGCGTAGAATAGTACACCACAATAAACGAAAGCCAGCTTATTGGTGCAATGAAGAAATAGCTACGCTCAGAAAGCTCTGTAATGCAGCTAGATGCCGTCTACAGCGTAATCAATGTGGGGAAAATGCAAACTACCTCAGGGAAATGTTTAAAACACAAAAAAAGCTTCTAAAGTCAGCCATTGCCCGCAGAAAAATAAACTGTTTTGAAAAGCTTTGTGAGAAAGCACACGTAGACCCTTGAGGTACGGCGTACAAAATATGCATGACAAAATTTAAAAATATGACGCAGCAACCCAAAAGCGCATCTGTTATGAAAAATATCGTAGAATCATTATTCCCAACACACTATACATATCCTATGCTAAACCACGAACAGTAGTTGTAGAGCCACCGCTAACTCATCATATCGACCTCTGTGCATGCTTGACACGATTGGCTAGATGCCGTCTACAGCGTAATCAATGTGGGGAAAATGCAAACTACCTCAGGGAAATGTTTAAAACACAAAAAAAGCTTCTAAAGTCAGCCATTGCCCGCAGAAAAAGAAACTGTTTTGAAAAGCTATGTGAGAAAGCACACGTAGACCCTTGAGGTACGGCGTACAAAATATGCATGACAAAATTTAAAAATATGACGCAGCAACCCAAAAGCGCATCTGTTATGAAAAATATCGTAGAAACATTATTCCCAACACACTATGCTATGCTAAACCACGAACAGTAGTTGTAGAGCCACCGCTAACTCATCATATCGACCTCTGTGCATGCTTGACACGATTGGCAAAGTGAACAAAGGCATAGTAAGAAACCGCTTGAAGATAGCAATTCAAAAAGCCGGCGGATTATCATAAAGACAATCCGGCTTTATGAAAAAGAGGTCCATTATTGACTATGTCGTTGACATTGTGAAATGCGCAGTATGTGGAAAAGATGGAAAGGATGGACTAAAAAAATTGCGCGTGAAGATGCCTTCAACTCCGCAAAATGGGCAAAGACAATCAAGGCTCTGTATGAAATACACGCTCTAATATCTTGTAAACATTATTATAAGTTATTTTGAAAACAGACGACTAATATTCGACACTGAAGAAGGCACCAAGATTTACTGTATTTCGAGGGTACCGCAAGGCTCGGTTTTAGGCCCATTCTACGGAACGTGATTATGATGGGGTGCTAAGAATAAATCAACCTTAACCCTTAATCGCATACGCGGATAACCTTATAGTGGTAGTGTGGCAAAGGTTCTTTTCAAGGAGCTTAGTACTGGTGAGCACAAGACAGAAGTCCTCCTAATAGTACTAGGAAAGTGGAAAAATAATATCCCTCAACATAGGGAGTGTGGGATTCAATCACACCTACAGCAAAGTACCTGAGAGTAATAATAGACTGAAAGCTTAAATTTAAGGAGCACACCAAGAATACAGCTGGAGTAAAGCATATAAAATCCTCAACGCCTTATCAAGAATGATGAAAATAAGGTCCGCTAAAGTAATAAGATCGGTGGTATTATATGCGGCTATAATATGGATCCATTCGTTAAACATTAAAGCATATGCCAAAAATAAAACACAGTGCACCGGCTGTCGGCTCTTAGAAAAATTAGTGTTTCCGAACGATATCCAGCGAGGAGTATTAGCCAGTATGATGCCCATTCACATCCAGGGTGACGAATTCGCGCGAGTATACAAGTTATCAGCAGGATATCTAAGAATCTATAAAATAAGGAGAATAAAAACATGACAATGTGACACACAATGTGGCATACCCCACCAAAGGACGGTGGACCCACAGACAAATACCGGACATCCGTTCGATACACAGACGACATGGGGACCTGGATTTTTACCTTACCCAAATATTAAGTGGACATGGGTGCTTAAGAAACTGTATAGATTCCATCGCGACACTGGTAGGACTGTCGACGTGTACAAAGTGCTTTGTAATTATAAGGGAAAACTAAAAACTACACTCGGTAAAATTTTTCGGTGGAAAACTTGACGACACTCATGTGTCAGTCCACTGAGAACTGGAAAGTTGTCAGCGAAGCGGCAGCCTCAATCGGACAAAACTGAGACATATAGAACAGATTAGGCGTCCGTCAGTCCGTACCATAGAGGAGGACTTAAATGTTTTATCACTCCCACGAAGTAATACTTAATCAGTTGTTTTCCATGGGATAGTCTAGAGTTGGGAGTGTTAGGTTAAGTAGATTTAAGTTCCGCACCTCGGCTTTCGTTGCTTCCCCCCTAATTAAAAAACAAACACCTACACACACAAGATACTACACGCCACAACTGGCCGAGAACCAGAGGCCCTTCGTAAATCGAACCATCAACACAGAATCGTCCCAGCATCATTTCGGGTTTCGTCGTCAGCCGGATACATATTAAAGTTCAAATATTGTATAATTACCGTCCGACAAAATAAAGTCTGAATACAAAAATTTAAACATCTTTTTTGAAATTCTAAGGTAAATGGTGAGTGCTGAGGTGAAATAATTACATATTGCTCCTTCGAGCCATAGCGATAGGCACTATGGGCTTTTAAAATAAAATAAGAAAACAAAAACAAATATCTTTTGTGCGGTGCAGTGACATATACATATGCATAAAAATAAAAATAAAACAAGTAAGGAAGGGCTAAGTTCGGATGTAACCGAACATTTTATACTCTCGCAAAGTCAAATGGTATACTCGTTTGAGATTTCTTTGTGGATTGACTGATATTTTCGGTAGAAGGTCAACTATAGGCAATGGGGTCCATATATTTAGTACTTAGAGGTTTGAACAGTTTTGGTTCGATTTAGACAATTTTTGGCCGCAAGGTGGCATACTTTAATTGCATTAAAGTTTAATAGTTTTACCCCGATATAATCATTGTTACCTGATTTGCATAGTGGAAAGTAAAAGAATCAGATGGAATTGAAAATGGTGTTACATGGGAAGTAAGCGTGGTTGTAGTCCGATTTCGCCCATTTTCGCACTATGACATAGAAACATGAAAAGAACTTTATGCACCGAATTTGGTTGAAATCGGTTGAGCAGATCTCAAGATATGGGTTTTCACCTAAAAGTGGGCTGTGCCACGCCCACTGACTAATTTTGAACGCGGTTCCTATAAAGCCAAATTATACCATCTCAGAGATAAAATTTAATGTCTCTGGCGTGTTTAGTGCTTGATTTATCGCGCTTTTAGTAGTTTTTAACAGTACCGTTATATGGGGAGTGGGCGGAGTTGCCACCCGATTTCAACTATTTTCACACCGTCAATATAAGTGCTAAAAACATTTGCTTCTAGTGAATTTTGTTATTATAGCATTAGCGGTTTAGGAGATATGCACATTAAACCTATAAGAGGCGGGACCACGCCCACTTTTTAAAAAAAAGTTTTAACTGCAGATGCCCCTTTCTAATGTGATCCTGTGTACCAAATAACAGTCTTGTGTCTAATTGCGGAGCTTAGTTATGGCAAGTTATTTGTTTTTGATTAATGACGTTTTGTGGGCGTGGCAATGGTCCGATTACGCCCATATGCAATACCAACCGTCTCACGGTACCAAGAAACATGTCTACCAAGTTTCATAAAGATATCTCAATTTTTACGTTAAGTTAGAGCTTGCACGGACGGACGGACGGACGGACAGACAGACAGACAGTCACCCGGATTTCAACTCGTCTCTTCATCCTGATCATTTATATATATATAACCCTATATCTAACTCGATTAGTTTTAGGTGATACAAGCAACCGTTAGGTGAACAAAACTATTATACTCTGTAGCAACAGGTTGCGAGAGTATAATAAAATAATCAGACAAGTTACAGAGAAAAAAATATATCAAGAAAACGCAAGTGCGATAATAGAACAAAAGTGCTAGCAGTCTCGAAATATACATACACACATACAAACATTTGTTAAAGTGGAGTGCGAAATTACACATAAATAAAAATATATATTAGGGTGTTTTTTTTGACTTTTTTCGGTCCTATAGTGAAATTTTGTTGGAAATACCCCAAAAAAAATTCTCTGAA